GATCTATATATTGTGTACATGGTTGTCATTTAGATTCACTATGCAACAAGGTTTTCACTGCAACAGAAACTTCCGCTACCAACTCTAGCAGACCTATCGTATCGAAGGTACTTAGTCAAACACAACCCGCCTGGTGTTTAGGATGTCAGAACTTATATTTGTAACTGCCTGTAGCTGTAGTTAGTGTAGTTATTATAAACTTTGTTTAGTGGTGCACCTTATTTGTTTCCTTTGCTATATGTTCTTCGAAACCTATAGTGAAACCATCCTTTCCAACTTTCTCGACTCTCACCCTACGCACAAACTACTCGACATCCTAATTGGGCCTAGGCTCCTAAGCCTAGGCCCTAGTTAAACTTCATCATTCTCGTTTCAGTTTCGATATGGTATCAGAGCGAGTTACGTCCTGGCCTATGAGTCCGCCTCATGCTTCCGCTGCTACGTTTTTCCGGTCGCGCGCCTAGGGCGCGTGGCGATTTTCTGTTGTCCCGCCCCCGGTTGGCGAGTGACTCCTACTCTGCCCGTCGCGCGCCCCGTGGCAAGCGACGGTGCCCTAAACCTGCCCGTCGTGCGCCCCGTGGCACGCGACGGTGCCCTGCTCGTCGTGCGCCCCGAGGCACACGACGGTGCCCTTACCTTAAACTTACCCGTCGTGCGCCCCGTGGCACGCGACGGGCCTCTCCGCACCTGCTCTCACTGCAGCCGCCCCTGACCTACCTGCGCCGACACATTGTAGCCGCTCTGCGGCTTTCTTCCCGCCCACCCCCTCCTCCTTTGTCTCCCTGCAGCCGTGGGGGGGAGGGTATGGGGGTGGCGGGTGTTGGAGCGTTGGGTCGTATCCTTCCCTTCCCCTCCTCCTCCTTTCGTTCCCACTGCTGCAGCTGCCGCTTGGGGGGAGGGTGTGAGGGTGTGGGGGAGACGGGGGAGTGGCACCGGGGTGGCGGGTGTGAGGCAACCAGCAGCCGTCCCTCCACCTCTCCTCTCTTCCCCCCCTCTCTGCTGCTCCTGCAGCAGTGTGGGGGAGGGGAAGGAGGAGGGTGAGGAGATGGAGGGGGTGACCAGCTAGTGTTAGCCCGCCTGCAGTACCTGCTGTTGCTTGTTTATTATTTTGCATGTGTACCCCTACAGGTTGTATTCGGCACAAACTCCTGCTGCAGGCAGTTATGGGGGAGTGTCAGAACTTAACCTGCCAAACCCGTAAAACACTCGGTACAGTGACTGTACGTGTTATTTAAAAAAAAAACGTTATCGTGTCCCATGTTCTTTACCAGTCGCATATTTTCCCTCTGTTGATTACTGAAGCAAAAACCCTCAACCTTGCAGGTTGAGTGTTAGGGGCTCGCCAGTCTTCGCCGCTCGAGCACGCAAAATACTTGGGCCTCTGCGAGCCTCTGTAACCGGGCTTGCACCACACGCAACCCAATTTCGCCGAACCGCATGGTCTACAAATCCCGTCAACTCACAGCCCATTTCAAAAATGTCCCCTCCAATTCGCCCCGTTGCATCAATTCGAGTTTGACCTGCCAGATTTCAGCGTCTTCAGAGTTGACTTATCCTCCTGACAACCAGGAACCGTTACTGGGGAAAGAGCAGCAGCAGCAGCAGCAGCAGCAGCAGCAGCAGCAGCGGCGGCGGCGGCGGCGGCGGCGGCGGCGGCGGCGGCAGCAGCAGCAGCAGCAGCAGCAGCAGCAGCAGCAGCAGCAGCAGCAGCAGCAGCAGCAGCGGCAGCAGGAGCAGCAGGAGCCGCAGCAGCAGGAGCAGCAGCAGCAGGAGCAGCAGCGGCAGGAGAAGCAACACACAACAGCAGCTTCTCCTGATGTCGAAACGGAATTGCTGCGGTCCCTTTCCCCAGCCTCCCCGCACTCGTTTCCTGGGAACAGCCTCGGTCGTACCCAAATAGCGACTACACCCGCGAATTCAATAACCCTTTCCGCCGATGTTCTCGAGGACGTTTTCAAACTGCTGCAGCGACCCGAACACGCGCACCTAGCTAGCACGGCCTGCAAGGAGTGGCGCGACGTTCTCGAGAGCCGAACCCGCGACTTCTCAGTTGTTTACCACATGCGAACCGCTCGTTGGGAGCCTTGTTTCCGTGACGTCAGCAACTGCAGTTTCGTTTCAAGGTGGCAGCCGGGAATAGAGAAGCTATGGATTTTAGACGACCCGCCGCTGTGCATGCCAGAGCACGCACGCTTCATGAGCAGAAACCCCTGGTTCACCCCGGCGCTTGTGTCTGATCTGATTTTGTCGAAGAACTTTCGCCAGCTTGATTCCGCGATTCTTTCTCTGGACGGAAAGCAGATTAGCGCCTTGATTAGACGGTTTCCGAACCTGACGTCCGTCAATATCCCAATCTTTATCAACAAGTTTTCTGGCCGGCATGTTTCGGCGTTCCAAGAGGAAGGTTTGCGTGAAGCGCTTTCCGCGGTCGCCACGTGTCGCTCGCTCCGCTCTTGCCGGATCCAGATCCGCTTTCCACGAAACTTTTCCTTCCAATCCCAAATTAGCGCGTTTAACGCCATCCTGACCGAAGGCCTCGTCAAAATTCTTGATTCCTGCCCGCGCCTCCGGTCGTTCCACGTGCAAGCGGACATGCTTCGATTCGCCGTGCCTGACGACTTGCCCGATCTGGTAACCGCAATCTCTTCCTCCTCTGACTCGGCAGACAAAGCAGGTCCCGGAGGCTCGGCACCCGGAGGAACAACGGCGGAGTTAGTACCTCTACCCACTGAACTGCTACCAGGCTCGAAGCATCAGCGGCAGCGCCTTCCCATCTCTCCCTTCCTCTGCATCATCCCCTCTCCGCCTCATTCTCATCCTCCTCCTTTACTTCCACCTTCCCTCACCTCCGTTCGCTTCATCTTCACGTGACTTGCGCCAACGAGTCCTTTTTCGCCGCCGCCGCTCCGTTTTCGCAACTGCGTGTGTTACAAGAGCTTCGCATATGTTACCATGACGAGCTCAGGTCTAGCTCCGAGGTCCACCCGCAGGCACGGGCACCGAGCCTCTCTCCAGACCTGTTTTTTGGCTTGGAACATTCGCTTCGGAAGCTGACTCTCAACCTCCGGGTCGGCTTACGCAATTTTGATGGGAGCCTGGCATTTGTACCCGATATCAGGCACAACTATTTGTTTATTAGATTGCTTCCGGACTCGATATGGGGGCTGGAACGGCTGGAGGAACTGGAGACGGACCTGTGCAGCAGCAGAGCAGCAGCGCGCTGGCAGGAGAGGCGGGCTAGAGCCGTGCAGCTGGAACGGCGAACCGCATTGAGAGTGATTGGCTTTAACGAGGCGGCTGCTGCTGGGGCTGGTACAACGGCAACTGCTGACGTGGCCAACGTGGGCAACGAGGAGGATGAGGCTCTGGACGAGGCGCGTTTCGCGGGCTTTAAGCTGTTGACGACGTTGACTCTCACGTCGGACCAATGGCTGGCCCCTCCGCCATCCCTCAGGCACCTGCCGAGCCTGACGCGTCTGCACATGCCCCTGGCTGCTCCGAGCCTGAGCTCCAGGTCCGGGGTGGGACTGTGGCATCTGACTTCCCTCAAGGACCTGTGCATTTCTGAGGTAGACGGAGGGAGGTTTGGGGAAGGGCAGCAGCAGCAGCAGCAGAGGCAGCAGGAGCAGGGTGAGGGAGGGCAGCAGGGTCAACAAGGTCAGGGACAAGCCCAGAATCCTAAGCCGATTCTCCCTCCCTCTCTACAGTCTTTAACTCTCCATGGACGTTCTTATAGCGAGCAGAGCCTCTCCCGATGGGCCTCCTCTACAATCACACAGCTCAAGCTGGTGAACGTCCGCTGCCCACCAGTCCTGGACTCACAGTGCCTCTTTCCGAACCTTAGGGTCTTCCAAGCCATACACTCCACTGCTCAGGTTGGGGCTCTGCCGAACCTCAGGCACATGCTAGAGAAGGCCGAGCCTGGTTCCGAGATCCGGATGACAGCGCACCCTAGCCTGACTTTTCTGCAGGTGGACCGGCCATGCAGCAAGCACCCGATCCCACCAATGCCCAGGCTTGAAATTCTCATTCTCGACCAGCTTTTCATGGCTTCCAGGACCTTGGAGTGCCTCTCAGCCTGCACTTCTCTGCGCTTTCTACGGCTGTCCAACGTGGGAGCCAAGAGGGGATGCACCGGAAATATCACCTGCCCGCCTAAGCTGAGGACCCTGGAGATTCACGACTCAAGGTTTCCATGCCTGCCCGGGAGCTTTGCGTGTTTTCATCGCATCAGGAAGCTGCGGTTGATCCACTGTGAGCAGATGAAGTCGCTGCCAGAGTACCTGGCGGGCTTTAACAGACTCAGAGAGCTCACCATCAGGGGTTGTAAGGGTAAGATCCAGATCCCAGAGAGTTTGGAGCATGTTTTAGCTTGGGCCAACTATAAGGTGGAAATGTGTGAAGGGGACAGTGTGACTTGAGTAAATAGAGTAATCAATTGGTAGGCGTAGGTTAGTGGTGAAAAGTGATTCAGATTATATTACATGAGAGTTTTGGTTCCTCTAATCTGTTGTCCCCTGTATCGAGGCCCCTAGGGGCATTTCTTTGGGAATCAATTGAGCAAGCATTTCTTAAACCTGTTTGTAGAGAATCCGAAACATCCCCACATAACCCCTGCACGAAGCAGCTCCTAGCATGGCAAGTCCTTCCAGAGAGCTTATTCGCCTCCAAGGTGCGAGGGGCAGAGGAGAGGGGAGGGGGCAGGCAGCAAGGGTCACAACACATGTGGAGGCCAAGTGTATGCTGTGGAGGGTCAGGGCCTCCAGTGGAGGGCAGAGCACTTCCAGAGGCGCAACGAGTGTGCTCATACTTGGGGTTGTGCTCCTTTCGGAAGGTGTGCTCTTGTTGCGGGGTTTGTCCTGCATGTTGTGCTCTCCTGTAGGGCTGTGTGAGCTGAGTTTTTGCCGCCCAGCTGCTTGTCGTCTCTCGGACCTCCTCCTGCCTCTGCCCCTGCCAGCTTGCTGTGATGCTCCTCCTCCCCCCGCACCTCCTGCCTCACCTTATGCACTTGTTGCATCCTGTGCTGCCACCCCTTCTGCTGCTGCCGCTAATGCTGCTGCCCCTTCTTCTGCCACTCCTTCTGTGGCTGCCCTTTCTGTTGCTGCCCCTCCTGTTGCCACCCCTTCTGCTGCTGGCCTTTCTACCGCCCCTTCTTCTACTGCCCCTTCTTCTGCTGCCCCTTCTGCTGCCCCTTCTTCCACTGCCCCTTCTTCTGCTGCCCCTTCTTCTGCTGCCCCTTCTCTCACTGCCCCTTCTTCTGCTGCCCCTTCTTCCACTGCCCCTTCTTCCACTGCTCCTTCTTCTGCTGCCCCTGCTGCCAGGCCAGGCAAAGCCACTGCCCTAGGCACTGGCGCTGCGCCGAGCAGTGCTGGAAGAGCGTCAGAAGCTTGGCCGCCAGCAACGGCCTGCATGTGCGCCATCAGCTGCTCCGTGAGCGACGGCCTGCAGCAGCCCCCTCCCCCAGCAGCGCCTCGCTCACCTCCGCCAAGGATGAACCGCACCACCTCTTCCACCTCCCTCCCTCCTCCTCCCTTCCTCCCATCACATGGCCTGGTATGTTACAAATGCGAGTCTCCCAGAAGAGATTCACACAAGGTATGGACTCAGTGTGCATGACCAGGGACTGTTTAGGCAGGCCGAGTGAACAAGGCAGAGGAGACGTAGTTCTTGTGGGGCCCGCACACAAGGTACTCAATGCTGAACCTCTCCACGTGAACACCTTGGAAGGCAAACCGGTACGCCACTTTGTACAAGTCTTTCACACAAAGGTGCTCCCCGACTGCACGCCACGCTCGGGGCAGCGCCTTCTCTACGAAGTCAGCACTCTGAAGGCCTTCATTCTTGTCGGGAGAAGAACCTGACTCTGAAGGGTCCGGAAAGAACCTCAAGTGGTGAAAGAGGTAAGTGCGCTGCGACTTGTCGGCAAAGTGGACGGCAATGCCATCCTCCGGCCCCTCGCACACCCACACATACTCCCGCCACACCTTGTTCCCCTTGCGCCCTGCGCTGCCTGCCATCACAAACTCCCCCTCTTCACGGTACAGGTACTCTCCTTCCCCCGGTCGCATCGTGAACGTGGCTGTCCCTTGCATGGTGCCCGACGGCAGGCCCTCATGCACACTCCGGATCTCCCTCTCCAACCGCCACTTCCCCGCCAGGCCCCGGAACACCGCCCCTGCCACTGCGCTCCCGCCCTCCAACTCGCTGCAAGCACGCGTCAACTGCGCCAGGGCAACCTCAGCGGCAGCGACAGACGGTGCAGTGGTGGGGGTGCAGTAGTGTGCGGGCACCACCACGTCGTGTGCTCTCATCCACTCAGGGTCCGTGGGCAGCGCACACCCGAGCGCCTCAGAGAGCGAGTTGCACATTCCCACATAGTCCCACACAGGGAACTGGGGCCTTGGCTGCTGCTCCCGCACCTTCCTCGCCTCCTCAACGCCCTCTTGTAGGGTGCTGGTTGGAACGGGCGGGAGGGCGCCGGACAGCACGGCTGCGGCCCAACGAGCCTGGAGCTCCATGACAGCAAAGTACGGCCCACGGTACATGCCCACCATGGCTGCACTTGGGAGCGACGGGTGGAACGTGCAGCGGTGCAGCAGCAGCGGCGAGAAGAGGTCGGACGAGTCGAAGCCGATCTGCTCCTTGAGGTGGGTGGGGAGGAAGGGAAGCGCGGGGCTGTAGCCGGTGCAGCAGATGAGTGCATCCACACCGTCGATGCGCTCATCTGTGCCTTGGAGAATTACGGAGGCCTGCAGAGGTGTGCTGCTGTCCTGTGGAGAATGCGGCTGCAGCAGCACGCCCTGCACTCTGCGGGGCAGCACACGGATGAGCCCCTGCTGCACCATGGGCCCATACTGGTCCGAGATGGCGATGAACGGGTGCTCGCTGTCGCTGCTGCTCACGCCCAGCTCCGGGCAGAGGAGCTTACCCTGCACGGACAGAGAGGACGGGGAAAAATCCTGTTAGAGGTACAAGAGGCATGGGGGACGTGAGTCATCGAAGACATAAGTCATGGGGGACATAAGTCATGGGGGACATGAGTCATTGGGGACATGAGTCTTTGGGGACATGACATGAGGCATGGGGGACATGAGGCACGTGAATGGATGGAGCGCAGAGGGTCCTTGAAGCAGGGAAACTGGCCCTTGAAGCTGGGTCCGAGGGGTGCTGAAGCAGGGTCCGAGGGAAACAGGGTCCTTGAAGCAGAGCTAAAACAACCATAGTCAGGTGCTGAGTATGGTCTAAGGTGGTTAAACACTTAAAAGGCTGGTTGGAGAGAGGCTTTAACGTCAAGACAAGGAATCAGGGTCTCATCCCATTGCGGCCTGCGAGTTACCTGATCACCGCACAGAGCGCGCATGTACTTGTTGGCAGCACGCCGCGCCTCTTCACTGCGCAACACGACGAGAGACGGCGAAGGTCGCGAGGCCCTTCGATAGAAGCACAAGTCGAGCGGCAGGAAGGGCGAGGCTGGGTCCGAGGGGTCGGCTGGAAGGAAGCGTGGCAGCAGCCAGAAGGGCTTGGTGATGACGTGGATGACCTCAGAAGCTTTTGATGCCACGTCAGCGGCGATGTCGACGCCGCTGAAGGATGTGCCGACGACGACAACCTTCTTCCCCGCGAAGGCGTCGCTGCTCCTGTAGTTGGCGCTGTGCATAAGGACTCCTGCCGCTGCCGCTGCATCAGCCCCTGGCACGTTGGGGATGTGTGTTTTCTCGAAGAACCCTGACGCGACTACCAGGGAATCGAACACCTCTGGGTTTTGCTGCCGGCCGTCTTGATCCACTTGGACACTCCACTTTCCGTCGTCCAGCAACGCGACGCGGGAGACACGCGCGTTCAGGCGCAGCGAGCCCGAAGCTGCTAATGAGTTTGATCCCGGCGGAATGAGGAACCGGTGGGCGTAGGACTTCAAGTAGGCGAGCACTTGAGCTTGCGACGGGAAGAGCGGCGCATCGTCGGCCCACGGATGGTCGGAGAAACTGCAGGTGACGCGCGATAGGTTTGTCATCATGCCTGCCCAGCACGCAGGCGCTCCATCTGAAGCCCTGGCGGCTGGTTTCGAACAAGATTCTTCTTCAACTGCCTCGCCACTGTCGCTTGGAATGCCTTGCCTCCACAGCCCGCCAATAGAAGCGGCCTTCTCAAACAGTGTGGGTTGAAGGCCTGCCTCGAGGAGGTACTTGGCGGACGCGAGACCTGCGGGGCCACCCCCGATGACCGCGACTCGTTTCAGCCCAATGGGTAGCGCCGCCATTGCCACCGGGCGGAAGCCAGGGAGGGAGCTGTGGACGAGGAAGGGGCGAGCGAGGAGTGAAGGCATTCTAAGCAAACAGAAATGGGTGAAAACCCAGGATCGCAGAGGTGAGCGCCAGACAGCGCATATCTGCCCCCTCGGAAGAAAACGAGGCAATCTCCCACACCACCTTCATTCCCCCTTAGGGTGTGTCAGATCCGAAATCGGACTAAATCCGGCCACTTTTCTGTAATTTTAACAGAAAGTAACAGGGTTGCCACATTCGCAAATATATTCGACGAGCTCGCATAATCCGGCCACTTTTCTGTAATTTTAATGGCCGTTTCAAAATGTCGACATCAATCCGACGTGTAGTCGACTCGAATTCGGCCAGGATGTCGACTGGGCAATGCACAGTATTTCAGCGACGTAACATACGCACGCTAGCCAGTCAACGTGTCATCCAGATCGCAACATCCACTGTTTGTAATCGCTACTAGTATCGCTGCGAAATCTGCGACTCTATCGCAGCAATCTGGCCAACAAATCTGACAGATTTCAAAAGCGGTCAGCAAATCGGCCACCAAATGTGTCAGATTTGCAAACACAGCCGTAGTTTGTCGACCAAATTTCGACAAATGCGTCGACGTTCGCGAAAATAAATTGAGCGTAACATATGTCAGTCGTAACTGAGCGTGAGAGACCTAGTCACACTACCGGCCTCACGGTCAGCTTCTAGGGCGAATGCAATGCCCCTCGCGACAGATTCCACAGCGCGCCGAACTTATGTGTCCGCTAATAGCCTTTGCTCACTAAAAGCAGGATGTTGCCGAGCACCCGATGCTCTTATTCTGCCAGCACATACGGACCGTTTGGATGTTTCTAAATTGATTATTTGATGAGTTTCAACTGTGAAGAAATGAGGAATGAATGAACTAGCAAGGAGGTGGGTACAAGTAGGAAAACCTAGAAGTGTTGTACCCCATATTGTCTACCCCACTATAGCCTATACATACTATAGCATATGAGTTTGACACACCCCCATAGGCAAAGTGGGGGAGAACAAGAGGTCACAAGACCAGTCAAGCAAAGCAAAGCAAGCTCAGGGTGGATCACAACGTCACCACACAATCCGAGCACAAGAGCAAGGCCAAAAGGCCAGTTCACATGCAAGATCATATATAAAGGTAAAAAAACAAGTGCAAGTATAGAAAGATCACAGTACAAGCAAGGTCAAGAAGTGAGCAAGTGAGGCCAAGTAGGCACAAGACCTAGCATCGTACAGAAACGCTGATGATCACCAGGCGGAAGTGCCTTGGTAAAGATATCAGAAGTGTTGGCCTCAGAGGCCACGTAAGCAAGGCGCAGCTGACCACGCTGCTGCAGCTCACGAGCAAGGAAGTAGCGAAGAGCAATGTGCTTCGTTCTGTGCTCCAGTCTGTGCTCCCAACACAAGGCCAGCATGGCCTTGTTGTCTACGTACAGAACTGGAGGAGAACGAGGCGCCTCTCCTAGGTCAGTCAGCAGGTAGGTGAGCCAGCGTAACTCCTGTGCAGCCATGTGTGACTAAGTCAGGGTAATGGTGCGCTGTGCTCTGTCCCGGGTGATCTGCAAGCCAAGGTAGCTGCGCAGTTCGCCCAGGTCTGTGCACGTGTGTCTCTTCTGCAGCTCGGACTTCACGTGGGCGAGTCGAGTAGTGTCAGCAGTAGCAAAGACCAAGTCGTCGACGTACACGAGGATGTAGAACGGCGGCAAAGAGGTGTCGGTGCGTAGAAACAGCGACGGGTCGGCTGTAGAAGGAGCAAACCCAAGAGCCGCAAGTGTAGTCCTCAGTGTGTCGTGCCACTCACGAGGTGCCTGGATGGGGGGGGCAGCCGCATGGATCATGGACGTACGAGCGACGTCCATGACCATGCCAATGCGGCGCTCAGCAATCCCATTTTGCTGTGGAGAGGCCGGAAGCGTGAAGGTCTGACGGATGCCCTGTGCACGACAGAAGGCTCCCAGACGGGCAGAGGTAAACTCCCCGCCTTTGTCAGAGTGCAGACGCAAAACAGGAAAGTCCGAGCCTAAACTCTCTCTGAGCTGGAGACGAGCTGCGCGGATCCAGTCGATCAACACCTCAGTGACGTCACCCTTGCTGCGCAAGGGGAAGACTGTGGTGTAACGCGAGTAGTCGTCAACCACCAACAGGAAGTAACGCTCTGTCAAACTCATATGCTATAGTCTGTGTAGGGTGTAGTGGGGTAGACAATCTGGGGTACAACACTTTTAGGTTTTCCTACTTGTACCCACTTGCTTGCTAGTTCATTCATTCCTCATTTCTTCACATTGTATAGAGCAGGTTCCCTAGTGGGAACGCTTCCTTGGGCCCACCACTGAAACTTTTTTCTGACCCAAGCGCGAGTCGCTCCTGCTCGAGGTGCGCCTTCTGGGTCGCCCTTCTGTCGAGCTCTCTTAGAGGCCCCTCTCACGGCCCCTCGCGCCACCCTTAGCGGCCCCGTCACCGCCCCTAGCGGCCCCGTCGCCGCCCTTCCAGGCCCCTCGCGTCCCCTAGCAGCCCCGTCGCCGCCCTTCCAGGCCCCTCGCGGCCCCTAGCGGCCCCGTCGCCGCCCCTACGCGTCCCCGTCGCCGCCCCTAGCGGCCCTGTCGCCGCCCCTAGCGGCCCCGTCGCTGCCTCCCTCCCTACGCGGCCCTGTTGCCGCCCCTACGCGGCCCCGTCCCCGCTTCTAGCGGCCTCGTTGCCGCCCCTACGCGGCCCCGTCGCCGCCCCTACGCGGCCCCGTCGCCGCCCCTGGCGGCCCCGTCGCCGCCTCCCTCCCTACGTGGCCCCGTTGCCGCCCCTAAACGGCCCCGTCCCCGCCCCTACGCGGCCCCGTCACCGCCTTTGGCGGCCCCGTCGCCGCCTCCCTCCCTACGCGGCCCCGTCGCCGCCCCTAAACGGCCCCGTCGCCGCCCCTAGCGGCCCCGTCCCCGCCCCTACGCGGCCCCGTCGCCGCCCCTAGCGGCCCCGTCGCCGCTCCCCTCCCTACGCGGCCCCGTCGCCGCCCCTACGCGGCCGGATCGCCGCCCCTAGCGGCCCCGCCGCCGCTCCCCTCCCTACGCGGCCACGTCGCCGCCCCTACGCGGCCCCGTCGGAGCCTCTAGCGGCCCCGTCGCCGCCCCTACGCGGCCCCGTCGCCGCCCCTAACGGCCCCGTTGCCTCCTCCATCCCTACGCGGCCCTGTCGCCGCCCCTACACGGCCCTGTCGCCGCCCCTAGCGGGCCCTTCGCCGCCTCCCTCCCTACGCGGCACCGTCGCCGCCCCTACGCGGCCTCGTAGCCGCCCCTACGCGGCCCTCTCGCCGCTCCTAGCGGCCCCGTAGCCGCTCCCCTCCCTACGCGGCCCCGTCGCCGCCCCTAGCAGCCCCGTCGCCGCCCCTACCCGGCCCCGTCGCCGCTCCTAGCGAGCAGCTGAGCCGCCGAGCTGCCCAGCAGCTGAGTCGCAGAGCCGCCCAGCAGCCGAGTCGCCCAGCAGCGGAGCCGCCCTCGCAGCAGCCGCCCCTGGAGAAGCCGCCCCTGGAGGAGCCGCCACTGCAGTAGCCGCCCCTGCAGCAGCCGCCCCTGCAGCAGCCGCCCCTAGAGCAGCCGCCCCTGGAGCAGCCGCCCCTGGAGCAGCCACCCCTGCAGCTGCCGCGGAGCTCTCGCCCTACAGTGGTAGCGGCCTCGCCGTTGCCGCCGTCGTACGCCTGCCCTTCTCGCCACTGGTGAGCACTGCCCTGCCCGTACTGCTGTTACTGCTGCTCTTGCTGCTACTGCTCTTTCTACCGCTACTGCTGCTCCTGGCGTGGCCAGATGCAGCTCCAGCGTCGCCCGCGTGAGTCCCTCACCCCCCAACAGCTTCGTGAGTGGTACGCTAGTTGGGGTTGTCGGGGTGGCCGCAGTGGGAGTCGTCCTGTAGTGAGTAGTTCCGCAGCTGCTTGTAGTGGCAGGATGCAGCTCCAGCGTCGCCCGCGTGAGTCCCTCACCCCCCAACAGCTTCGTGAGTGGTACGCCAGTTGGGGTTATCGGGGTGGCAGTAGTGGGAGTCGTCCTGGAGTGGGTAGTTTGGGAGTTTCTTGTAGTGGCCCGGTGCAGCAGCAGCGTTCTCCGCGAGAGACTCTTTCACCCCAGCAGCTTCGTGAGTGGTACGCTCAGAGTGGAGGGTCGATGAATCCTGCTCGCTGCCCGTACGTTATTCGCACGGGTGTCCGGACTGGTAAGTCTTGCGGGACGCGTGGTCACATAGAGTCCTGCTGCTTCTCCCGTCTGAGCGACGCTTGGCGTACAAAGTTTGGCGACGACGCTGAGCTCCCCGACTAGGTGGAGCTGCTTAGGCAGAGGGTAGATATCTTTGCTCTTGACTATGATGCTATTCTTACTGCAATGTATGCATTGTCTACTAGTGCCGAGGGAGTCTGTCACCTGTGTGTGCCGCCTGACCCCGGTATCCAGTCTGCTGCTCTAGGTGCTGGTGAGGCTGCTGTGAGAAGAAACGATAGTAGGCTCGCAGAAGTCCTGAGGAGAACTCTCCGCTTCTGTCAGAGTGCAGACGCAGAACAGAAAAGTCAAGAAAGTTCCGCCTGAGCTGGAGAGGAGCTGCGCGGATCAAGTCGATCAACACCTCCGTGACATCACCCTTGCTGCGCAAGGGGAAGACTGTGGTGTAACGCGAGTAGTCGTCAACCACCAGCAGGAACTAGCGCTCGTGACCTTGTCCACGGACGCAGGCGGGGCCCCGCACGTCCATGTGAAGCGTCTGCAGCAGGGCCTCTGTCGGAGGAAACTGGGAGGAGTGAGGGGCAGCCCGCTGCCGCCCCTCGACACAGGGGACACAGGTAGGGCCAGGTCCCGGAGGAAGGGGAGGTAGGGACCGGGGAAGACCAGAGACAAGGACACGAGAGGCCATGCTTCGGAGACAAAGCAGGGAGGGGTGACCAAGGCGGTGGTGCCAGAGGAGAGTCTCGTGAGACAGGAGGCGACACGAGCAGGGGGCAGACTCAGGACCAGACCTGGACGCTGCAGCAAACACCTGACCCGACGCAGCTACCTGACAAGACGCAATGACT